GGCTGGATGGCGTACATCTTGTATAGTTTAGTTTTGGTTTTGGTTTATGTACTTTTGGGCTTGTATAAATATTTGAAATTGAATCAGATGTAAACCTACATTTTACGCTTAGAACTAGTTTCCGCTTCGCTTATGATATGTAATTTTGGGAGAATTGGATGTATTATTTGATTTGTACCTTGTAATTTACTTGAGGAATGTAGTAAGTGAGTGAGTCCCGGCGAGAGCTGGGCAGGCGGCCCGTTAAACCCTCTGGTACGCCTTAGGGGGAGGTGGGGTCGTTACAGGTTTGGCCTCTTCACTTGTTGTGGGCTACAACCCCACCTTCAGGAACAAAACCCACGGCCCAAGTAGGGACGGATAACTGTGGGACAATATTGGTCAGGGGCGTTAGAGTTGGTATCAGAGCCGACTCCCGACCCCGATATGCCAGCGAGAACGCTGGGTCTCTTATGGGGGGGGATGGATTGTTATGATCCCACATCGGCTTGGGAGGAAGTCCTGGGGCTGCTTTAATAGCCTGTAGTGGTCTCTCCCACCTGACCGAGATCTTTTGGAGGGGTGCTGGGCTTCTTGACCTGCGAGATTGGGCTCTTCACTTGTTGTGGGTTATAACCCCACCTCCAGGAACAAAACCCACGGCCCAAGTAGGGGCGGATAACTGTGGGACAATATTGGTCAAGGGCGTTAGAGTTGGTATTAGAGTCGACTCCCGATCCCGGTGTGCCAGCGAGGACGCTGGATCTCTTATGGGGGGGTGGATTGTTATGATCCCACATCGGCTAGGGAGGAAGTCCTGGGGCTGCTTTAATAGCTTATAGTGGTCTCTTCCACTTGACCGAGGCCTTTTGGAGGGGTGCTGGGTTTCTTGACCTGCGGGTTTAAGCTCTTCACTTGTTGTGGGCTATAACCCCACCTCCAAGAACAAAACCCACGGCCCAAGTAGGAGCGGATAACTATGGGACAATATTGGTCAAGGGCGTTAGAGTAGGGAGGAAGTCCTGGGGCTGCTTTAATTGCCTGTAGTGGTCTCTCCCATCTGACCGAGACCTTTTGGAGGGGTGTTGGGTTTCTTGACCTGCGGGTTTGGGCTCTTCACTTGTTGTGGGCTATAACCCACCTCCAAGAACAAAACCCACGGCCCAAGTAGGGACGGATAACTGTGGGACAATATTGGTCAGGGGTGTTAGAGTTGGTATCAGAGCCGACTCCCGACCCCAGTGTGCCAGCAAGAACGCTGGGTTTCTTATGGGGGGGGAGGATTGTTATGATCCAACATCGGCTAGAGAGGAAGTCATGAGGCTGCTTTAATAGCCTGTAGTGGTCTCTCCCACCTGACCGAGGCCTTTTGGAGGGGTGTTGGGCTTCTTGACCTGCGAGTTTGGGCTCTTCACTTGTTGTGGGCTATAACCCCACCTCCAGGAACAAAATCCACCGCCCAAGTAGGGGCGGATAACTGTGGGACAATATTGGTCAGGAGCGTTAGAGTTGGTATCAGAGCCGACTCCCGATCCCGGTGTGCTAGCCAGGACGCTGGGTCTCTTATGGGGGGGATGGATTGTTATGATCCCACATCGGCTAGGGGAGAAGTCCTGGGGCTGCTTTAATAGTCTGTAATGGTCTCTCCCACCTGATCGAGGCCTTTTGGAGGGGTGCTGGGTTTCTTGACCTGCGGGTTTGGGTTCTTCACTTGTTGTGGGCTATAATCCCACCTCCAGGAACAAAACCCACGGCCCAAGTAGAGACGGATAACTATGGGACAATATTGATCAGGGGCGTTAGATATGGGAGCCTAATTTGTTCTCCCTTTGTCACAAACTGCACAATTCCACACGTCTTTGACTCTCACCAAAACCACTAACCAAAGTTTTCTTTTATTCTATCATCAAGCATGTCTCAAACATAAAAGGTTCAAGAAAATTTGCTAAAACTCCAAGTGGAGAAGGGCTCAAGTTAGGAATCCAACTAAAAGTCTAATTATTTATGTCACATTAAAGGAGTAGACAATCCCAAAATTGCAAACAAATTACCAAGGAATTTAGTAAAAACATACACAAAGAAAACCTAAATTAAAAAAACTCTAAACATTCAAATAAGTTGCATGAACTTGGGAATTAAAAGCAAAAATGAGATAAAAAGGACCTTCCAATGCATTTGCACTTTAAAACATCAATTGGGAAGTGATGGTGAAGACCTAGATTGATCAATGCTTGACTTTGATGATTAACAAGCCAAAATAATGATTTGGACTAATATCTTTTCATGAGAAAGTTGCTAGGAACAGGTCCAAACTCAACGAGGAAAGAAATGAGGAAAATAAGTTTGAATAAAACTTATCACTTAGGGTCAAATGCAGTTTCTAACACTGGTTAGAAGAATTGGACATCCAAAAAATGAAGAAAGTGAAATTTCGGTAATTGGACAATGTTTCAAACACATAACATGCCTATCTAACGTCTGAAAAGTTGGCTAAATTCTCTGCTTTTATCAGATGCATTTCTCGAATGCTACATTGACATTTCTAAACTACTAGTCAAGACCAACTCAACAACCTTTAGACACAAAATTGAACTATTGAATGCCTAACAGCTCAAACAGCTAGTTTTTTACCATTGGAGAGACTTTTAGGGGAAATGTTTATTATTTATAAATAATTCCATGTCTGAATATTAGAGAGACTTTTGCATACAAGACTACAAGTTTTGTAAGAGGGATTTTGAGAGAAAATACTATTGTGTGTAGATGTAATTGTAATCTTGGTGGGATTGAAAAGTGTAGTAGTTCTTAATTGGTTAGAGGCATTCAATTTTAGTATAGTGAGGGTTATATTGAGTGAAGTTGTAAAACTTTTTAACTCAACTAAAGGATATTTATCGTGAGTAAACAGTGACTTTTCTTATGTACAATGTGGTTTGTTGCGCCATCAATTGAAGAAACTACTATGGAAGAATCAACTCCAAATTTGAAAGAAACTTGGGAGTTTGTTTGGTTTGAAACTCTTTTTACCTTTTATTGCTTCATTACTTGTTTGTATGGTTAAATTGCCTTATTTTTATTGTTATTTAGCTTAATTAAGTGTGCGTTCACTTAGGTGAATTTGACTAGTTAAAATTGGGTGTTTTGTCATAATTTTCTTAGTTCAATATAACCAAATTCACTCCCCTCTTAGATTGCAAGTAGGTGTAACAGATAGGCAGTTGCAACAACAGTGAGGACAATGACTTCTCCACCTTTTTTCGTTCCTCAACTTTGTTCCTGTTTTTCATTTTATGTTTACTTCATGATTTGCTTATTTTTCCTTTTAACTCTTTTTTATTTATTCTAGAAAGAAATAAAATATAAATATTATAGAATTATATCAAAAACCAAAATTTCCCGAAAATTAAAAGAATTTTCTTACACAGATTGGGAATTGTGAATTCATTGACTTTCGGATAGGTACTTGAAAATCAATACATTAGCCATAATGGTACCCATTTACTAAGTTTCCCTCACATCTAAGATACTTTTTGCCCTCACACTAAATAAATGTTAATGAAAATTACAATCATCCTTTTTATTTTATTTTTTCATTCCTTTCTTCCATTTCTTCACTTCATTTTTTCTCTTGCCATTAGTTCCTCCTCTTTGTCTTTCTCGTTTACATCTTTAAAATGAAAATTGTTGATATGTGTTGTTTCCACTATCTCAATTTTGTATAACCTTAGAAACTATTGGTTGTTACTATGGATAATCAATTACGAATTAAAATAACTATAATATTTTTACACATTTTGAGTTATCTAATAACTCAATTATGCACCTAATAAATTAGCAGTGATACGTAAGATTATTCGCAATGTGCATTGCCAAAACTTGTTTTTTTAGGGATCATAAAGTATCTATGTTACCCATTCAAAAACTTAGGATCATAAAGTATCAATCTTACCAATTCAAAACCTAACACTAATAATTTGTGACACATTATTTAAATTAGTGGAAAAAGCATACTCCAAGGGTGTCCAAATTAAAAAAAAGAAATATTTATTCTGTAATAAAAAAGTAGAAGTCAACTATAAATCGCCAACTCTACATGTTTATAGTCATATTTCGGGTGTTATTAAAATCTAATAACCATCTATAGTTTCCTTGCGATGGTTATGTTGCATAAATACTTACTTATGACAGGGTAAAAATGGGATAATAAAAAAAGGTGAAAAGTTTTACACCAAATAAGACCTCATGCTTTATAAATACTAGTGATTGAGACATACTCAATTTGTGTGTGCATTAAAAAACATATGATGCTCTAAGAAATACAAACAATGTGTAAACATGAAAGAGAAAAAAGCATAAAAGTTGGTAAATAAAACACAGGATTATACAAGTAAAATGAAATCATGATTATTTATCAATGGTGAAGGGACAAGTGCTCTAACAAATATGTAGTAGTTTTAGAGTGTTTTAAGTACCATCGGATGAATATGGAGGTGTAGATAACATGGAGAAATCAAATCAGAACAAATGCATTATCGTGGAAAGACAAATATTGACTTTTTAGTTTTTAATTGTAACTATATTGTAACCATTTAGCCCTTAATAATAAGGGTAGAATTGATAATTCAAAAAATGACACATTTTGTTAACACCAAACCTTGCTTAGATTTTGTATATAGAAATATATACAAAAAAATTAGTTAAAACACTAATTATCCTTGGTATTTTTTTCAAATGGAATTCTCTTACTATCCCAGAATGGATAAAGTTTTTGGAAAAAAGAATTGCTAGTATAGGGCTACTAAAGTCTTTTAACTGCTAAAATAGCTCGAGTTCATCGATTTTTAGTTGATTTAAGCGACATGCTACCAATTGAAATTACAAGTATGTAAGTGCTATAATCAATAGTTTAACACAGTAAAATTCAAGCTAATGACAACTCCGGGGTGCATATTGCAATTAACCTTAGTCCCCAGAAAAGAATCGGCGAAATACAACCGCAATACTAAAGAAGGAAAGAGAGGAAAAAGGTGAAACCAATTTGTTTCTCTCTGTTTCCTCCTGCTGTATTTCTTTCATGGATTCACTGAAATCGAGCATTCCTCAAGTGGGTTTGCACCGAAACTTCGATCTCTCTTTTCCCAATCTGCCTATGCCCCCATCAAGGCTAAAAGTTACATGCGGGTCGAGAAAGATTGGACCAAGAAAACAATGTGGAGGTCAAGGGTGTTGTCTCCAGAAGCCATACAAGCTGTCCAATCTTTGAAATTAGCAAAATCTCCAGGCAAATTAGCAGAGGTCTTTGCCAATAGAATCAGCAGACTCATGAAGGCTGACTTGTTGGATACTTTATACGAGCTGCAAAGGCAAAACGAAGTAGAATTAGCCCTTCAGGTAAATGTATGTATATCTTGTCGTGACTGTTTTGGTTTCGTGGGATTGATTATATTTTGTAAAGGGATTGTGGAATTTGATGAGAAAAGAATTGAAGGGTTGAAGAAAAAATTTAATTTTGTGGGCATTATTATTTGTTTTGGAACAAAAAAATAGATTTTTCTGTTACCCAAGGATTAGGGGAGAAGGAAAAGAGAAAAAAAGAAAAAAAATAGCCAGTTTCTTAACAGTTTCGGAGCTTTGAGCATTTTAAATTTCAGAGTTTATGCTTGAAATATTATGCGTCAGTTATGTGTCAAATATATATGCAGTGAAAATTGGTTATTTTGATGATGCTTTTACTTATGGATGTCTTATTTGAACCAGATTTTAATGATGTTGGGAAGTTTGACAAATATTAATAAGTTAGCTGTATAACTCATATTGTTAGGATGATGGTCTGAAAATTGTAATTGCAGTTAATTGTGTGCCGATAGTGTCAAGATGAAGATGAGAAATCAAGTGAACATGATTGTAATTTTAATTTTCTCTTTGTCTGTGCCACTTGCATGATGGATGTAGTGCATAGGTCAAGGTGAAGTCATTGTCTTAATACATAACAGAATCAATTCTTACCCACCTCTGTGGTAGATGGTTTCTGGAAAGTCTCCTAGTAACAGTAGAATTATGACTCTACCAAATTTTTTAGTAAAGAGCAGTTGAAAATCCTAAACTAGAGGTTTGCCTGACTTCCTGATCTGCATTAGATTGAAGACATAAAAGATGCTTGTAAGTTTTATTCTTCCAGAGATGGACTTTGGCTGGACTTTAGCTAGCATTGAAAATTGTGGGAATTGTCAATATGGTGATGTCATGTAAAGGTTCTTTGTTAAGATAGGCTCATGTTCCTGCACAAGTCATTCATGCTTTTTGATACAGTAATATACGTCTATTAATGAAACTAGAGAGAATCAGATTGGCAGCTAGAGACAGCTAAATGTCTATCTTTTGTTACGTTTGTGTCTTCAGATACCAGTTTGAAATCAAGGAGTCCCTTTTTATCATGAATGCTACTGGTTATTGTCTATCATCTTTCCTCTGGCTGATTGTACTTGACTCAGTGCATTTTTTTATAGTTGCATAATGAACTCTTGAATGAAATGGCACTTCAGCTCTCTCTAGCTGCTATGGCATATGGTAAAAGTTGTGCTTTTAGAGAAATAGTTTACGTTTAATAGATTCAAAGTTCAACCTAACATGTCTCCTTATCTTGGGTTGATTTTTTCCCTTTTAATTGTGCATTATCTGCAAAGTAATCAGGACTCAGGTGTTTAATTTTGCAAGAAAAGAAATTTGGTATGAACCGGGTATATCTATTTTCAGTGACATGATCCTGATGTTGGGAAAGAGTAGCAATATTGAAATGGCTGAACAGCTTTTTGGCGAGCTAGAGAAAGAAGGCCTAAGGCCTGACACCAGAACATACACTGAGATGATTGGAGCATATTTCCGTATCAAAATGATAGAAAAGGCAATGGAGTCAAATGAATCAATGAAGGGATCAGGTTGTGTTCCTGACAAGCTAACATTCAGGATCTTGATAAAGAACCTTGAAAAGACTGGCAAAAAAGAACTTATAGCTACAGTGAAGAAAGATTGTCTTTCCTATATTAAGTACCCTGAGAAATTTCTTGAAGAGGTTGAAAAGACATACGTAAGTACTGTTTTTCACTAGCAAAGCTTTTACTTCTAATTTTATATATCTTTATGTTGAAAAATGAACTATTGAGTGTGCATGCATTCTGTGGCTCCCTTTGTCATAATTTTAATAACAATATGAAGAGCAGTAGTCCTGCTGTACATAAGACCTTTACTGTATATTCTTTTGTGCGCAGTTCTATGTGTCATTGGTCACAATGTCTCTTCTGGTTTTTTAATTGGATGCAAATAATCTTAACTTTCATGCCTTAAGAGTGTACCGTTATTTAGCAACCTTGTGAAAAACTTATTTCTTAATTATCTCATGATTTTGTTGTCATCTATTGCTATGCCATATGCCAGCGTTTCTCAGCGCTAGAACTAAAACTTATTTTAGTAGTGGTGGAAATGGATAATAACCATTGTCTGCTTGTAATTTTTACTCGATCTTAGACAATATTTTGGACCATTGTACCTTAAACCCATTATGATGTGTAATCCCAACTTGGATTGCACCTGGGAATGGCAGCAGTTTAGGCAGCTGAGGAAACGGACCATTTGAATCCTAATATGAACTTGGACCTGATTAGAGGAAACTTTCCAGCAGGCCCCTGAACTATTCACTTTGCACGGTTTTGGCCCCTTAACTATAAATTGTCGCAAATAAGCCCTTGAACAAAAAAAAAATGCTTAGTTTAAGAGCTTCCATCAATTTTTGGGCGTTAAATGCAACAGAATTAAGGGCAAAACTGACCAAACAGAAAAACCAACAGACAATTTGGTTAAAAAACCAACTGTATTAAGTCAACTAATAACATGGAATTTAATGTTTCTTCCTCTTCTTTCATCTTCCACCTTCTCTAACTCTAATTTGATGAAATTAGCAGTCAATGAGGCCTTTCAGGTTGTTCTTGTGGGATCATTTTTTTTGTTTGGTCGGTTTTGCTCCTAATTCCATCACCTCTTAACAGCCAAAATTGATGGAAGTCCTTAAACTAAACATTTTTTTGTTCAAGGGCTTATCTGTTACAATTTATAGTTGAGGGGCCAAAACCATACAAAGGCAATAGTTTAGTGGCTGTCGGAAAGTTTCCTCACCTGATTATCATTAATCTGACTAAGGCTGCAACCCTTTGGTTCCAAAACCTGTTCAATTTCTTTTGGATTCTTGGTCAGTTGTCAATGCAAAATTAATTAGCTACATGTTAAGTTAAATTATGTCAGTTGACAATTTCTACTTAATGCATTACCTATACTTTCTTCTTTACCAAGTAGCTGTTTTATCTGTTCCCATTTTTTTCTTCTTCATTTTTTTTTAATACATAACATGATGCTATGTTTTGTGCAATATGCATCTGGTTGTCATGCTTTTACACCTCTGTACAGATGGATTAAAGGGTTAACTGAAACCACAAACAATATATAACCTTTTCTCTTAAGCTGCCCATATCTCTTGCCACTATCCTACATTTTCATCAGGCCTATTCATTTTTTTTTTCTTGATGTACTGATACAGCTCATGGTAATGTTTTGTAAATTTCTTCTTGCTTTGGGTTGATTTGGTGATTGGATCTTGTTTTTCTTCAGCCAAAGCGAAGGTTACTCAACGTTGTTTGAAGATATGTAGCATCTTTCAACCATGTCCTCCTTTGTGCTACCTTGAATTTCACAATCCTTGGAGCTGGATGAAGCTTGTCACCATAGCCAGCTACCTTGAGATAGTTGCTGCCAGCTTATTGGCATATGAGCTGGCAATTCTCACATTGACTGGAATGTAAGGTGAATTATTCAATTTAATTTAAGCAATAATCATTTTAAAAAATTTCTACCCTGTATCAGATCCTTGCACGATGGTAGTTTAGGCTCGTAATCACTAATTATGACTTCATTAAGCAATTTTGGCAATTTTGAACTAACTAGGCTGACTAAGTGCCTTGTAAGGTCATTGCTGTTGGATTAATGCAAATACCATTTTACAATATGAACTCTTTTAGCTACCGAAAAATTCCCTAAGTTGTAGCATCAACTCTTGAAAGATGCTGCTTGTGCCTTATAATGTAATGTAAATCTCCCAAAATTTGCAACATTTTCTGTAAGGTCTTTGAAGTTCCAATTCCTATAGTGCAAAAGAGTTGCCAATCAGACAAGTTTATATTTGTGTATTAGCTGCGTACTCTTTCAAATTATTTTACCCTGATTTTTCTTATTCAAGAATTGATTTACATTTTTTTTTGCCAAAACGTCAACATTGTTTTAACAGAGTGTAAATAACTTTACAGCGTGGTGGGCAACTGCCTAAGGTCTACTTGTGATTGTTGAACTAACTGTGGGAAGATAATTCTTCCATCTAATTTTCTATCCTAGTTCTGTTGCAAACAAAGCAACTCTATGACTTCATGCATGAACTTTTACTTACATAGGAGAACCCACAAGAACCAATTCAGGATCATAGAGCTAAAATGTCTTCCAGAAGATTGGCACTTAATGAATCATTGCTATCGTGCCTCAGTAGTTTGTCAATAACATGCTTCTGATCTGCTTCAATGATTATATTCTGCAATCCTTCCTCTAGAACTTAGGTGAGGCTTAATTTGATTGCCTTAGCTGACCCCATCTGCACCTTTTTGCTCCTGATATGACCAGTGATTGCCCGGGCAGTAATTATCTCACCTCTCCCGTCTCTTCCAACTGCCCTATACCTGCTTTCCCTTTACCAATGCGGCTCTTTGAAGCTATGTTGATTTTAATGTTGTTTATGAGGGGAGGATTCCAATGGTCGTCCTCACTGTCCATTTCATTGTCCAATCTTCAAATTTTGACCACTTAGTGATAGCTTGGTGCATCATCTTCATAAATCATCGCATTCATCTGCGAGTTTTAAAATTGATCTTCTTGCTAATAAAATTTGCTACAGAATGTTTGTTGTGATTGCTATGTGTCTGAATTCTCTTTTCCGCTTGTAGCTCCTTTTCAGCTTCTTCCACCATACCCAAAAAATTGCCTCTTTGCTCTCCCAGTCCATCTTGGATAACTGGAGAGCATTCCCATAATGCTTCAGCACCACGGCCAAGAATAAGAGCATGCTCAATTGATTCTTTACCTTCCCTGCATCCTTGACAGATTAGGTTGCTTGCCTGTTTCTGCTATGTATTACAGCGTTAACTGGGAGGCTCTGCTGCAGATACTTCCAAATAAATAACTTAATCTTATGTTTGATATTATGCTTCCATAAGAAGTTGCATATCTTGAAGCTGTCCTTTCATGCCCACATTTACATTCTGTTTTAACTTCTTTTCTTCTTCTTCTGGGCTGCATTATATGCTGGTCTTACAAAATAGATCCCATTCTTAGAGTGCTTCCAAAAAAGTTTCTGATGCTAATGGGGAATTGCATAATGGTCTCAATATCCCTTCTACACATGATTTGGCTCAGAGTTATTTTGCTCCATTTGAAGTTCTGTATGAGCTGGTCAACTCTTTCCAATTGATAGAAGGGGGAGTTTCTGGGTCCTTAACTCTCCATCTTCATTCAAATGGATTCTATTATGGCCAGCATTTTTATTAATTTTTAATTAATCTAAGTTTTCAATTGTTTGTTTAAATTGGACTCAGATTGTGGATCAAAGAAAAGGCCAAAAAAGGGAAAAAGACATTAGGGCTAAAACAATTTTTTGTTAAAGAAAAGGGGCCTGTAGCCCAAACTAAGGCCCAAGTAAGCTAAGAAGGCAATTTTGGATTTTTTGAAGCAAAAAAAAAAAAGGGAAAGATGATGGATAAGGCTTAGATAATCTAGAAGGTTTTTGTTGCAGTTAAATCCTTTGTCCCATGTTAGAAAAATCAAAGGAAATTCACCCAACGTATGTCATAAATACCCTAGGCAAGAACAATCCCTCACTATTATGTCTTCTTCACTAGCAAATGATAAACAAAAGAGAGAAAAGGAGGGAAAAGTCAAGCATAGAAGATTCATCTAAGTCTAGTTGTAGAGCAAGAAGAGGAGATCATAACCTAGAAGTGTAGTGATTTCTTCAAATTAAGAATTTGATTTAATAATTAATTGTATAGTTGCTTCAAGAATAGACATAGGTAACCTATGATCTTGCTTAGAAAGAATTATGGAATGTTATTGCATGTATCATGCTTGATTTATGGCTGGAATATTGCATGTTTTCTTCAAAACAAGAACTAGTTTTTTGCATGTAGAAAAGGAATAGGAAAAAAATTGTAGAAAATATAAGGGCAAAAGGAAACCATTGCCAATTGGCAAGACCAGCTAGCCATAGTGACTCACTAGACTAAGGTTGCCGGAAAAGCTTGGGAGGGCAATTGCTGATCATTGCTGCTTATGTCGGCTGGTGATGAAGGTGGTGGGTAGTGGTAGCCATGTTAGATTGTGAATTAAAGGAAAAGGAAAGAGGTTTGTAAAAGCTGCAATTTATTGGAAATTTTTGTAAAAGTTTATTATGAGTCTGACTTTGAAAATTCATAACTTATTATAGACTAGTAAAAATTCGAAAATTTCAAGGAATAGGCTACCACATAAATCCTGGGTATTTATATAAAGGGTTAATATCAGAAACCTCCCTTGAGGTTTCTTCTAATCACACCTAGCACCCCTCATGTTTTCGAAATCACACTCAGCACCCCTAGAATGACAACTTTGGTATCATTGTCAGCCCCTCATTATTTTTGTTCCACTTTTACCCTCCTTGTGAACTCTATTTATGTAACTCACATCCCTCCAACTTTTGTAACTCACATCCTAGCAGTGTAACATGTTTTGAACATTTTGTAATTTTATGTAAGCTTCTTGTACATCTTTATAATAGATTGCGTTTCTGTTATTAAGTTTTACAAATAATTCACATAAAGTTACACATTGTTTAAAAAATGTTATATTGATCTGAACGGAGATAAAAAAAAATGTGACTATGGATTCTCATAATGGCAGCAATAGTTTCAATATGTGGTTGTAGTTGTAAATAAACTTGCTCTTCCATTTTTGTGAAAATGAGGTAGTATAAATAGCTTTTTGTGCGTCGAATGGAGTTTGTAAGTTATTAATATTGCGATACCCTATTATCAAGTAAAAATGGATTGCTAATGCTATATACTCATGAATTCCCATCATCTTTAAACTACTGTTAGATTATGTTATTATTCACTTAGAAATTGCAATTTTGGCAATGGCATTATGTCCATTGCCAAAAGTCAACATCACTGGAAACTCCATAGCTATTTAATATTAGGGAGTGGGATAGGAACAATTGTTAGATCAACCATCCTTAAATCGTGTAACATTTTTTGAACATTTTGTAATTTTATGTAAATTTCTTGTACATCGTTACAATAGAAGTGTGATAAGTTGTTAGTGTACATATGAGTCCAATATGTAATAATCGTATTTGTGTTGATAAGTTTTACAAATAGTTGAATTAGAATTACACTTTGTACAAAAAATATTACATAATTACATAATAGTTTTACATAATTTAGTGAAAACCTCAAGGGAGGTTTCCGAAATTAACTCTTTATATATAGAGTTCACAAGGAGGGTAAAAGTGGAACAAAAATAATGAGGGGCTGACAATGATACCAAAGTTGTCATTCCAGGGGTGCTAAGTGTGATTTCGAAAACATGAGGGGTTCTAGGTGTGATTAGAAGAAACCTCAAGGGAGGTTTCTGATATTAACCCTTATATAAATGCCATATACTATATAAATCATTAGGTGATAAATTATATCTGTATCCATTTCTAATCTTAATAAGTATAGAATACATATTAAAATACTATATATATTAGTTGTACCCTATATATAAATACTATATATACATGTATATATAGTATATAAACATGTTTCTTTACTATATATACAAATATATAGTATATATATAATTGCTATAAGCATGTATATACATGTTTATCAAAATACATTATATTATAATGAATAGAACATATATGATTAAATATAGACATGTCTATATAATACATGTCTATATATATTTATAATACATGTCTATATAATACATGTATTATAAACATATTTATATATAGACATCTATATATAGACATGTCTATAATGTATATACATGTTCTATATATATTATAAACATGTTCTATACATATTTATTATATGGTGTATTTTAATTGTATATACAATTATAATAATCTATAAACATGTATATATGAATAATTATATAATACAGATATAGGGTACTAGTATTTCTAGAATCATATCAGTTGTTAAGTTTTCTACTATATGAAATCTATGTTTTATGCAATAATTATTATTACATATAATTCCATTTTTTAATTTATATTTTACTATTAATGGTTGTCCATTAGCTACATATAGTTCTTCATTGGTTCTTTTTAAATATTCTAATGGAATTATTCCTCCTTTAATACAACTTGTATCTGCTCCATTATCGAATAAAGTTATTAATGTTTCTTGAAAATTTAATACTCTGACTATAACTAATCCATACCATTTTTGATAATTTATTTTATCATTGATATTTAAATAATCTTTTCTTTGTTTTCAGTTCTGTCTTCTATTTCTAATATGGGGTTTTGAATTGGTTCTATTGGTATTTTTGAACTTGAGGCTAATTGGCTTTGTAATATAGTAATCTTAGTTTCTAAACTTAAATCTTTTGTATATAATTCTAATATTTCTTTTTGTAGAACTTTTACCTGTTGTTTTAATTCATTGATTTCCTTTTGTAAAGAATGAGTTGTATCTTTTTTAATTATTCCTTCTATAGGATATTTATCTAATAATCTAGAAATACTAAAGGGTTCAGTTATTTTTGGAATTTTTTCTTCTGCTAATATTATCCCTTTTAATTTTTCTAAATACGTCTTCCTTGTTTCTATATTATCTATTTTCTCTATTAGATCTAATAAAAATTCTTTATCTTCCTTTGTAGTTATAACATTTATATATTTTTTATCTTTGCAATTACATTCATCTGAACTTATTTCTTTATCATCTTTGCAATTACATTTATCTTTGCAATTACTTTTTGTTTGAGTGTGCCACCATATCATTTTTCAGAGGCATCTGTTTCTACTATCATTTTAGCATTAGGGTTTGGAATACCTAAACAGGGTAAGTCTATAATCTTGGCTTTTAAATATCTTATTTTTTGAGTATGTTCTTCTGTCCAGGGAGAGGGGTCCTTTCTTAATCTCTGAAATAATATTCTACATTCTGTTCTAAGATTTGGAAAGAAATCTGCTACATAATTTAAACATCCTAAAAATCTTTGTAATTGATTTTTATCTTTAATTTCATCTGGAAATTTACTTGTAAATTCTAGAGCTCTTGTAATAGGTTTAATAGTTCCTCTGGTTATATTATGTCCTAAAATTCTTATTTCTGTTTGAAATAATTTCATTTTTGGTGCTGATAACACTAATCCATTTTTCTTTACTATATTTAAAAATATTTTAGTATGTTTAAAATGTTGTTCTATTGAATTTGAATATATTAAAACATCATCAATATAAACTATAATGAATTCACTGTGATTATTAAATATGTCATTCATTATATTTTGAAATTCTGATGGAGCATTTTTTAATTTAAAGGGCATAACTATCCATTCATAATGTCCAAATGGTGTAGTGAATGCAATTTTATATCTATCTTTTTCTGCTATAATAATTTGCTAATATCCTGATTTTAAATCAAATTTTGAAAATATTTTTGCATTAAATAATCTATTTAATAAATCTCTCTTATTTGGAATTGGATATCTAATCCATTGTAATATTGTATTTAATGGTTTATAGTTAATAACTAGTCTTGGAACTCCTCTTTCTTTTTCAGCTTGATTCATTACATAAAAAGCTTGGTCAGAAATTGTTTTAATTAAAGTTACTATTTAATTACAAGGAATATACTAATATTCCTATGTGAATATTATGAATGGTCAGTTAAATATTGTTGCATTAATGAGTATCTAGATTATATAAACATGTATATATGAACATGTCTATAATTGCTATATATAAACATTATATACATGTATTATAATATACATGTTTATATATTTATAGTATTATAATAAATACATGTCTATATATAAACATTATATTATAGTATTATAATAAATATATATAGACATGTATTATATTAATACATGTCTATATATAGTATCAAATATAAACTTAAGAATTAAATAGACATGTCTATACATGTTTATAATACATGTATTATATAGACATGTATAATATATAGACATGTATTATAAACATATTTATAAACTATAATGTATATAATATGTCTATATAGACATGTTTATAATACATGTATTATAATACATGTCAAATACATGTATATACATGTTTATAGATGTCTATATATAATACATGTATATTCATGTTCTATACATATTTATAATACATTATGAACTATAATGTATATAATATGTCTATATAGACATGTTTATAATACATGTCAAATACATGTATATACATGTTTATAGATGTCTATATATAATACATGTATATACACGTTCTATACATATTTATAATACATGTCTATAATACATGTCTATATATAGTATCAAATATATTTGATTTTTATATTTGATAATATATAGAACATGTCTATATATGATAATATATAATTCTATATAAAAAGATACATGTCTATATACTACAAAACTTTCCAGTTTTTCATAAAGAGCTGGTACGTTATACGTTATTTAACCAATTTTTCATATTTAAACAAATTTATGAAAATTAAATAACGTATTTGAAAGTTACATTTTATTTGGAAGAACGCGTTCCTTCGATGCGTTTTTCACCCTTTGGGAAGAGACTAAAAAATCGCCACCCTTTAGAAAGTTAGTTTAAAAACTCTCTCTTTTTGGGAATTTACTCCTTATTAATACAACTACTATATTTATTTTCTAGTATTAATTTTTGTTATGATTTATGATTTTCTTATATTTTATCAAAAAGTTAATAGTTATTGTAGTTAAAATTATGGAGATGTTACTACTCATACTAGTCTTTCAAAGCTATTGTACCATATTGTCAAAAGTTTGAATAAGAAAG